ATTGTTTAGTGATAGTTGTTCATGAGTCCCTTGTTTGTCCTGAACAGTTAAACTGCCTGCTGTTCTTCAGAAAAATCTTTGGTTTTCCAGCATTTTTGAGCATTTGAACCCTTTCCAACAATGACTGTATGATTTTGAGCTCCATCTTTTCACACCGAGGGACACATTTGTGTCATTAGTGTAAGATCAGGCACACGAGTGTCTTTGAAGACTTCAGTGAGGAAACACCGTGGCTTACCAAAAGGTATTTCACATATTTCTTATTGTTGGTCACACATAGATGTCAAATATTTATTAGAGTATAAAATGTATATTAAATGTTTTTTACAAAAATTGTGGGTTGGTTGAATGTAATTTGTAAATAGTCAGATTAAATGACATTTTTGACCTGCATTAAACCAGGTAATTTAGATGTTACTACATAAAGCTCACTATTTAGTTAATCAGAAAAAAAAAACTTATGTAGTGTAAAAAAAAAAGATTGTAGGCTTTTGTTTTGTGATTTGACAGCTATGTATGACCTTGCTATAATAAATCATACCAGCATGCATTAAATGTTCTCTGAAATGTCTCATATTCCTGTTTGGTGAAAAGATTATATTTTAATATTCAATTAATAATTAAATAATTTAGCCACAGTATGCGTGAGACTATTCAAGAGCGGATGTGAAATTCTAATTTATTTTAAAAATAAAGCTGATTATATATAGAGAGCCCACACTTTGTAAAACATCAGTTTTCAGAAGTTACAGAGAGTTAACCCGTTTGAGGTGACCTGGGAAGACCTCTCTTTTACAAGGGATATAAAACATGTTGAAATACTGTATGTTGTATACGTGCACATACGTTGCTGTTGAGTTTAGATGTGAAATATTTAGTCCATATTTGATCATGTGTGTAGACCTTAAAATATTATTCTATGTTAAATATAAATGTAACAATGCTGAGAAGTATATACAGTTTTTAGAGCAACACGTGCTTCCATTCAGACAATGTCTTTTTCAGAAGGCTTCGCATATTTCAGTGAAACAATGCTAAAGCGCATACTGCATCTATTACAACAGCACGGCTTATAGCCAAATAACATTAGCTGAAATTGTTTAATATAGACTCTTTTAAGAGCTTCAACCCGTCTTTTATCTCAGCGCTCATAGAAACATGTGATTCCGTCTCACATTGAGTGCTAATGTTTTTTACAGCAACCCAAAGACACAGCTTGTTTTCGGGTTCCTGGAAAACCACAAAAGAGCATGCAAGCAAATGTAGAGTTGGTTTGCGTGAGCCTGTTGACTTCAGCTGTTCGAGTGCTTCCAAACATCCACGGTATCAACAGATATTTCTGTATTTCATTAACATCAGTGTGTAGAGACAGAATCTCCTTCAATCACTGATATTGTCTCTATTTCACCTGTGACATCTAAAGAACAAAAACATACTCCACAAAAACATGTGTATTTGTATATACCGTAAGGAGTGAAATGATTTCCTTATTACATTAATTCCTTGTGAAGCCGAAACTCAGGAACTCTTGTAACACACATGCCATGCAACAAAACAATAAACTTTCTAATCTGACAGGAAGATCTGGGAGAAAGATCATTTGCTCATCTGTCCCTTCCCCCATCGGAGACCTTCTGATTTCTGTCCATCACTGGAGCTAGCAAGTTGTACGGGAAAAGATTAAAGGGGTCATATGATGCTGCTAAAAAGAACATTATTTTGTGTATTTGGTGTAATGAAATGTGTTTATGCGGTTTAAAGTTAAAAAAACACATTATTTTCCACATACTGTACATTATTGTTTCTCCTCTATGCCCCGCCTTCTGAAACGCGTCGATTTTTACAAAACTAATCGGTCTGAAAAGCGAGGTGTGCTCTGATTGGCCAACTATCCAGTGCGTTGTGATTGGCCGAATACATCAAGCATGTGACGGAAATGTTACGCCCCTCACATACTGTTGATGCCGTGTCCGGCCGGAGCAACGACACAAAAACATGAAAACCCATTACAAACGAGGCATTTGTTGCATCCAGTGGGGACATAATTACTGATTATAATGACTTATACTGTCTTTTTACGCGTTGCGTTGCATCGAGCCGCGTAAACATAAAACCATGTCTGCATTTGTGATCAGAGAAATGACAAACAACAAGTGCTAACGTTAATCCACACTGCCCAAAACTCGCGTTTGAGGTGTGGCTGACTCTTAACTTTTATAAAGAATATCTCTTTGGATTTGAGACTTTAGTCTTTGCAACTTTACAGATCTTCTTTATGCACCAAGAGCTTGTAACACTCCAAAGAGAAAGGAAAAAATGAAATTGCATCATATGACCCCTTTAAGTGAACTACACTTTTTGTCATAAGCAAGCTGTAGGTGGCAGGCAAAACAGGTGTTAGTCAACCTACACCCTCTAACTACACACACACACACTCACACTCACACACACTCTCACACACACACACTCACACTCACACTGACACTGACACTCACACACTCTCACACACACACACTCACACTCACACTGACACTGACACTCACACACTCTCACACACACACACTCACACTCACACTGACACTGACACTCACACACTCTCACACACACACACTCACACTCACACTGACACTGACACTCACACACTCTCACACACACACACTCACACTCACACTGACACTGACACTCACACACTCTCACACACACACACTCACACTCACACTGACACTGACACTCACACACTCTCACACACACACACTCACACTCACACTGACACTGACACTCACACACTCTCACACACACACACTCACACTCACACTGACACTGACACTCACACACTCTCACACACACACACTCACACTCACACTGACACTGACACTCACACACTCTCACACACACACACTCACACTCACACTGACACTGACACTCACACACTCTCACACACACACACTCACACTCACACTGACACTGACACTCACACACTCTCACACACACACACTCACACTCACACTGACACTGACACTCACACACTCTCACACACACACACTCACACTCACACTGACACTGACACTCACACACTCTCACACACACACACTCACACTCACACTGACACTGACACTCACACACTCTCACACACACACACTCACACTCACACTGACACTGACACTCACACACTCTCACACACACACACTCACACTCACACTGACACTGACACTCACACACTCTCACACACACACACTCACACTCACACTGACACTGACACTCACACACTCTCACACACACACACTCACACTCACACTGACACTGACACTCACACACTCTCACACACACACACTCACACTCACACTGACACTGACACTCACACACTCTCACACACACACACTCACACTCACACTGACACTGACACTCACACACTCTCACACACACACACTCACACTCACACTGACACTGACACTCACACACTCTCACACACACACACTCACACTCACACTGACACTGACACTCACACACTCTCACACACACACACTCACACTCACACTGACACTGACACTCACACACTCTCACACACACACACTCACACTCACACTGACACTGACACTCACACACTCTCACACACACACACTCACACTCACACTGACACTGACACTCACACACTCTCACACACACACACTCACACTCACACTGACACTGACACTCACACACTCTCACACACACACACTCACACTCACACTGACACTGACACTCACACACTCTCACACACACACACTCACACTCACACTGACACTGACACTCACACACTCTCACACACACACACTCACACTCACACTGACACTGACACTCACACACTCTCACACACACACACTCACACTCACACTGACACTGACACTCACACACTCTCACACACACACACTCACACTCACACTGACACTGACACTCACACACTCTCACACACACACACTCACACTCACACTGACACTGACACTCACACACTCTCACACACACACACTCACACTCACACTGACACTGACACTCACACACTCTCACACACACACACTCACACTCACACTGACACTGACACTCACACACTCTCACACACACACACTCACACTCACACTGACACTGACACTCACACACTCTCTCTCACACACACACACACACACTCACACTGACACTGACACACACACACACACACAAACACACAGACACACACACACTCACAGAGAGAGAGAGAGTCGGAGATTGCAGATTGCGCTGCGCACACACAAACTTGTTATCAACGCTTCCCCGCGATTTTTATCAATAAAATAGCCTAGATAATAGATCTCTACATTATATTTCTCAGCAACGAGGTGGCGCTGTTTTTGAAGTAATTAATCGTTTGTATAGAGACACGCAGACGCAGCATGCAGGTAAAGCACACACATCTGTCTGTCATCTCTTTCCCTTTCTCTCACTGTCTCTCTCTCGATAATTAATTGAAATAAATGCTATAATTCATTCAAATAAATGGGATCTTACTGCACTATTACATCTCTGTGATTTGAAGCGGGCAGAATAACGTGCCATAACTGACGAAAATAACTGTCATTTTTACCCTTCTGGTCAAATATTGCGCTGCAAAGAGCAATACTAATTTTAACTTGTCTATAACTTGGCAAATGACCATGGAATAAGCGCGATAATCAACGGTTTGCCGTGCATTAAAGGATTTTAAGTGCAGGACGTGGAGGCCAAGAACCACCCAAGATGCACGGCAAGCCGTTGATTATCCCTTACTTATTTAACATCACAACTCTCATAACGTGGAATACTCTGAGAAGAATACATGGAGGCTTACGTTTTGACGTCGCCGTAGAACATTGTTTTGTATTCTTTTAAACCGGTTAAACAAGTTGTTTCAACAAAATGATTTGTTTCACTCAAATGTTTCCAGTTGAATCTGTTCACTGAGGTTACTAAGCTAATCTATATCTATAATAATTCATTTATGTTCTGCAGGTGTTTGTAATGCAGAAACAGATGAGACAATATCAGTGATGGAAGGAGATCCTGTAATTCTACATACTAATCTTTCTGAAATACTGAACGATGATACAATACTCTGGGGGTTTGGACCTAAAGAATCGGTCATATCTCAGATAGCGAGAAAGAACGACTTAACCTCAGTTTTTGCCACCGATGAAGTGAGTTTCGCAGGCAGATTGCAGGTGGACCACAAAACTGGCTCTCTCACCATCAGAAACACCAGAAACAGACACTCGGGACAATATAAACTAACAATCTCTAGAGAAAAGACCACATCCAGGATATTTCATGTGGATGTCTTTGGTGAGTATCTCAAGAGAATCTCTGTCATTTAATGAAAGGATCTTGTTTCAGGTTTCATGATATCACACGGTATGATTTCATGCTGCAAGCATCTTACATGGACAGTACAAAAAATCTTTATAAATCAGTTCTGGTCTGTTTGTTTTCCAGATGTGGTTGTTGAGACGGATGGAGTGAAGTCAGTGTCAGTGACAGAAGGGGAATCTGTCATTCTACAGAATGATGCTACTGAATTACAGAAAGATGATCTGATTGTATGGAGGTTTGGAGATAAAGGCATCCTCCTAGCTAAAATCGATGTAGAAACTAACAAGCTCTCATTAAATCATGCTGATGAACGATTCAGAAACAGACTACAACTAGAACAAAATGGATCTCTGACCATCACAAACGCCAGACCCGAACACACTGGACTTTATGAAGTACAGATCAGAGGCCGCGAGAGCTCACAGCGGTTCCTTGTTTCTGTCAGTGGTGAGTTTCAAATTAAAGGACTTTAGCACAAAGTATTTGAAAATAATCAAATAAGCATGAAATAAAAGCTGGCTTCTATGTCTTACTATTAGCATGGCTACAGATACAAAAAAAAAAGTTTTTAATACTTTACAGTAGGGCTAGGTAATATGATATCAGCAGCAAAATAAAATAAATATTACACTGTAAAGAATTAGTTGCTGTCACGGTGCTGCTACTGTGTCGGAGCGAGGAGACGGAGGGAATCCAGAACAAATATAGACTTTATTAACACCAAGGAACACACATGTAGCACAGGAATCAACAAACAATACCAGACCTTGGACATGGAAACACACAGGGCTTAAATTATGGGACTAATCAAGGAACTAACAAGACACACCTGGAACTAATGAACATAATCAGACATGAGGGAGGAACTAGGTCATGGGGAGAACATGGGGAGAAAAACGCAAGACACGGGAACACAGGACTGATAGTTGCTGCCTTCAATTTTTTATGTTGAATCAAATTATCGACAAGTCATTTCAACTTACATTAAATTGAACTTACTTAAAACAGTTGAATGTTGCATAACTTAAAAAATGAAGTTGAAACATGGTTAACTTATTTTAATAAACATATGTTGGCATGACTTATCGATCATATAATTTTTTACAAGTTAAAATAAAAAAAAATATGTTGCCTTGGCAACTTACTGAAATAAGTAGGCTACTCAAATGTAAGAATATGTAAGAATTTAGGTTTTGAAAAAAAAAAAACATTTGGAAAAAAAATCTGCATATCCACGTGTTTCCCGTGATGTTTATATCATATCATCTAACATACATTGCCTTAATCAAAAATCAGCACAGTAATTAAGTGATTTCTGTCCTTTTGTTAATGGAGATAACAAACATTCTGTAGAAACCTTCCAATAAACACTGCTAATTAAACATTTTAAAGCATCCATGTGAAAACAAACCTGGAAAGAGAAAGGATTTGGAGAGAAAAACGAGAGATTCCAGTTAATTATTCATTGGATATATTGTTAAATTGTGAGAGCAGACAACAAATGCGCAGCATGTTGTCTTTTTATATTGTTACAGCGGAATAAGAAGGAAAAAAGAAAATAATCAGGACTGAATAGAGTTCTTGCAATTGATATTCTTCTTAGGTCATGTCACAGTAAATACGTTATTCTCCTGACGGCTGAAAATAAAGGTGAAAATAAGGTTGTAGCACAACCTTATGATTTGAAATGATTTGTTTCAGTCTTTTTGAGTGGAATTTCCCCAAACCGAGAGTGTCTCCCATGATCTCAAATGCAGTAGATTTACTGTGAAAAAGGTGGATAATTTGCAAGCATCAGGGAGCTGCTCTCATTATGCACGATATTGAATGCGCTCGCTTTTACTTTCGCTTTCCAATTTGTGATCACCCGCAGGGAGCGGCAGTACTGAGCGCACATTTTACAAGATAATATATTTGTCAGTGACGCTCAGGATCTGTTGTGCACCAAATCCCCTGCTGTGGTCTTGTCAGTCAAAGGACAGCAGCAAGTAATGTGATCGGTGTATGGACGAACACAGTGTAACACCAGTAACACAGATTACCAAAGCAAGCCTAAGGTCAAATATAAACTAACGTGGAAAGTAAGGATGTAACATGTTGAATACTATATACTGTACATGTCAACTACCTGACACCTGTCAGTCCTGAATCATGAAAAATATTTTGTCCTCTAATAATTTACTGTCTCTTTTTAGCTGATGTGGGTTGGTCATCAACTGTCATAGCTGGAATAGTTCTTGCTGTTCTACTGTTGGCTGGACTTTTAGCTGCTGTTGTGATTTACTATCGCCGCAGGATCTCTGAACTAGAAAAACAAGTGGGTAAGTATTACAGTGGTATTACTGATTAGAACCTTTTGTGTTCCGAATGAGAGAGGTAGGATACACGAGCACAAAGCTCCATTTCGCAAGAAAGCAAAACTATTTTGTTTGGCCTTCCAAAAGAGGACGATATCCAGCCCGGGGTCGTCACATGTGGTTGCCGCAAGCCTCCTTCGTCGAATCCACCGGCTGCGCCGTTCTCAAGCCGCCCGCCTCTGCTCACTCTAGCCCGCCGTGTGTGACGCTGTGTTTCGTTGTGAAAGCGAAACTACTTTGTTTGGTCTTCCAAGAGAGGGACACAACTAGAAATCAGTGGTTAAGTTGTATTTACAACACTGTTCCAGAACACTTCAACCCAAATATTCCGAAGATCTTCTGGCTGACCTTTTAGGCCCAGCTGTTGAGCAGCATTGTGCAAAAGGATGGTCCTTTCCGATCCATAATCTAAGATGGCATAAGCTTTCATCTTGTGTGCCCCGTTTCGGAGAATGACCTTGACGATATTCAGAAGAACCTTTCGGCTGGCAGGAGGCTTACGAATGAGAAGTATCTCGTTCATAGTGTTGAGGAGACAGGCATTAGCAGAAGTACCTTCATTTGGGGTAGTCTTTGGGAGGTCTGCACTCCTGGGATTGATGTCATGAAGGACCAGCAGGTGACAGCTATTACACTGTTTGCAGCGCATTCTCAGATTGCACTCTGAAACTTGATGATTCCTCCCACAGCGGCAGCATCTGTCGCAGTCTTTGATCCAGTTTAGTTTCTGGTCAACGGTAAGCTGCTTAAAGTTGTTGCAATTGTTGAGGGAGTGTTTGTGGTGGCACTTTCTCTGTGCCAAGCAGAATGGTGGCACTTTTAGCTGATGGCTTAGAGTCTGTGATTACCTCTCGTGTTCGTGCTGGATATCCACGACTACTGGCTCCTACGAACCTTGATGTGTTCTGCTGCACTTGAATTTCATACTCTAGCCACTCTGACAGATCAAGAAGGGTGGGGATTGGCACTTGGTGTGGATGTGCAAAGCGTCGGAAACTTGACCTGAGGTTGTGCGGCAGCTTCCCCAGGAGCCGGGAGACATGTGAGCCACACTGCAACTCAAAGGTGCCCTTCCTTCCTAGTTGCTCTAGCATGCCAACGAGGGAACGAACCTTGAGGACAAAGAGTCGGAATGCTTTAATGTCCCCACTGGCTATGTTTGGACCATCCATGAGCTCTGCTATGCGTTGCAACACGAGCTGATGCGGCTGTCTGTATTGCTGATCCAGTGCTGCCATGATCTTTGTGAAGGGTTTTTGGGAATGACTGTATGAATCAGCGATAAACAGGGCCTCCGGCTCGAAGGACTATGTAAAAATGAATGGCTACTGGTAGCTCTTCTTCCTGGTTGTTAATTTGCCGGTTGATAACAAACCCACTACGGAGCGTCCGGTTAGAGACTTTACCACAGATGATCAGGTATGCGGCAATAACCCATTTATTGTCACCACAAACTCAGTACACTGAAGAAATGTTGTTTTTCATGTTTGTTTGGCTTTCTACAAATTAAAGATAAAGGAAAAATACATAAGTACAAATAACAAATAACAGTGGTCACAATAAATATAATAACAACACAATATTTGCACAAAGAATATATTAAATACAGTAATTAAACATTCAAATAAGAAAACAAATGTGCCATTATATGGGAAGATGCGCTGCTAGAAATTACTAATAATGAGCAGTTGAAATCTGACACCTCTCAGTGCTGAGGACAGAGATGGAGCCGCTCTGTCTAGAACATTAGTGCGCATGCGCCAAAAGAGTGCTTTAACTCTCAGAAATGAGCGATACATATTAAATATATATATTACTTAAACCATATGATGATTAAATGGCAGATAGATTATGTCTTCTAAACATAATGGTAATATAAGTGAGGAAACTAGTATGTAAATACACATGAACATCTTCCACGCTAGTTCGTCTTTGTCACCCACATACATTAACTTATAAACACTCGGAGCAGTTAAACATTAACAAACAATGCAGAAAGCAATGGATGAACAGACTGTTACTTACTTTATAGGCACGCACACAACTTTAGCAAAGATAAATCGCTACAGTACTACTAGCATAAAGCAATGGATGAACAGACTGTTACTTACTTTATAGGCACGCACACAACTTTAGCAAAGATAAATCGCTACAGTACTGCTAGCATCCGTCCGCTTTCCCGATCGTTCTAACTCAGTTCAGTGGGCGGGACCGCTGACCTGCGCATCCTGCCTGGAGCGCTGATTGGCTCGCGGGATGGATGCTGCATCTGTAGTGTATTGCAAGGGAAACTAAGAGACATGAATATAACCCGTGTGTGGCCTTTTTTACCTCAGATGTTTAAGTGAATAAAATAGTCTTGACAGCCTTACTTACCGGAGTTCCACAACTATTGACTTTGTTTTCTCTCACCGGACTTGTGTGTGTGTGTGTGTGTGTGTGTGTGTGTAGGTGATGTAAAAGAGGAAAGCAGGCATTTGGACCAAAGCACTGCGAGGCAAGGGAGGGGTGACTCAAAATGTTTCTAAACTTAAAACACATTTTTGCCCCGTTTTTGGAAGAGGACATAGGTGATGTAACGTAGGGTCATCAATCAGATGTGTAGCAATTGAGATATTAGACACACATGCGTGAATTGTACATACATTGTGACTTCACCATGTATATAGAATTTGAATAATAAATATTAAATGGGTGGTTGATCAGCTTTTTTCGAAGGCTTTATTGTGTTTATGGGGTGCACTGTAACATGTGTTCATGCTATGTTTCAAAAAACTTTTAACTTTATTTTACACCGCTTTTTCCATTCTCATAAAAATGGTCTGGTCTATTGACTTCCTAGTTCTATGAAGCCTCTCCCTTAGAAATACTCAATACTCAACTGTCTGAACTAGTTGATGCATGAAATCAGCACCCTGATGAAGAGGTTGACTGGCACAAAGTATTTTATGTATTTTTGAAAATATAAAAATACTCATGTTAAATGTTTAAATACTAATTACATTTGATTTTTTCCAAAGGCTTTAAAATACAAAATAGTATTTTGTATTTCAAATACGTATTTTAAATGCATGTATCTGAAATACTGCCCATCCTTGCTAACAATGTCCTAAAACGTATTAGAAAAATACAATGTGTTAAAACATGCTAGTAACAGGCTAGCAATGAGTTAAAACATCTTAGCAACATGCCAAAATATGCTCTTTGTAAAGTTAAGCTTGATCTTCTGAACACATTTCTGTTCTGTTTCTATGTGCCACTGTAACAGCTGAAGAAGAGAAAGTGGAAGGAATGGAAGGAAGAACTGTCGTTCTAAAGACTGGTACTACACTACAGAACGGTGATGAGATAAAGTGGTGGTTTGGAGATGACAAAAATCCCCCCATAACCCAAAACAGTGAATGGATCAGTACAGACGCCGATACAAGCTGTGATGTTTCTGACGAGAGATTCAGAAACAAAGTGCAGCTGGGTGGTGGGACTGGAGATCTCATTATCAGTTATATCAGGACCATTCACTCTGGAGTCTACAAAGTACAGATCAGCGGCAAAACCAGAATCAAAAACAAGAGATTCATTGTTACTGTCAATGGTGAGTAGATCAATAATCATGCACTGAACAGATGATCTGAACTTAACACAAATTCCCAAAGTGCAACGTAATTTTAGTTACTGTTCAATTTTAATGTTTTTCATTGTTAAAATAAAAATGTAAGATATAAAGTCGTAACATTACCAGAATAAATTCATTTTGGTGTAAGTAAAAAAACAACAACAAACACTTGACTATGTTATATCATCACCAAATGTGAACTTTTCTACAGTGGGAGAAATATTTATTTGATCCCCTGCTGATTTTGTAAGTTTGCCCACTTACAAAGAAATTAAGGGTCTGTAATTTTTATGGTAGGTTTATTTTAATGGATAGAGACAGAATACCGACTAAAAAATCCAGAAAAAACACATTATAATGTAACAGAGACGCTGGAGTTTGGTTAGAATCCATGAGCGGAAGTTTATTAAAGGTCAAGGCTTTAAACAGATGTCGATAATCAGGCAGAGGGTCAAAGTCAGAGAAGCAAGCAGATCGTTCGTCATACACAAGGGCAGAAGCAGAGACAATAGTGGAGAGGCAGGCAATGAGTCCAAACACAAACATCAGTCCTATCAGGCGTCAGAACAAAAGGGGCAGAGTACAAATACCGTGAGTCAAGAAGTCAGGCAGAATCATACACAGGAAATCAATCAGGAACAGAGGAAGAATAACGCTTGGTAAGGCAGATAAACTGGCAATACTTCGCAATCAGCACATGGACTGGTCTCAGTTTATATGAGAGTCAAACAGGAAGTGAAAGCAGAGGAAGTAGAGGGAGAGGAGCACGGTCAGTACTCGGGCGAGGGCTCCCTCTGCTGGCTTGGCGTTACATATACAAAGATTTTGATTTGCATTTCAGTGACTGAAATAAGTATTTGATCCCCTACCAACCAGCAAGAGTTCTGGCTCCACAGACTGGTCATGTGCCCATGTGGAACACAGATTAGTCCTGTCACTTTAAGAAGTTACTCCTAATGTCAGCTCGTTAGGTGTATAAGACACCTGTCCACACAATCTGTATCTTCCATTCCAACCTCTCCCTCCACCATGGGCAAGACCAAAGAGCTGTCAAAGCATTTCAGGGACATGATTGTAGATCTGCACAAGGCTGGAATGGGCTACAAGACCACTTGTAGGAGACAACTATTGGTGCGATTATTTGGAAATGGAAGAAATACAAAACAACCATCAATCGGCCTCGGTCTGGAGCTCTGAGCAAGATCTCGCCTCATGGGAAAAGGATGATCATCAGAAAGGTGAGGGATCAGCCCAGAAGTACACAGGAGGAGCTTGTTAATGATCTTAAGGCAGTTGGGACCACAGTCACCAAGCAAACCATTGGAAACACTACGCCGCAATGGATTGAAATCCTGCAGCGCACCCAAGGTCCCCCTGCACAAGAAGACACATGTACAGACCTGTTTACATCTAAATGATCCAGAGAAGGCTTGGGAGAATGTGCTGTGGTCAGATGAGACCAAAACTGAGCTCTTTGGCATTAACTCGACTCGCCGTGTTTGGAGGGAGAGAAATGCTGACTATGACACTTTTGCTACACAACACGGGCATATACATGTACATATGTTTAATCTGTCAGTGCCCATGTGGAACACAGATTAGTCCTGTCACTTTAAGAAGTTACTCCTAATGTCAGCTCGTTAGGTGTATAAGACACCTGTCCACACAATCTGTATCTTCCATTCCAACCTCTCCCACCACCATGGCCAAGACCAAAGAGCTGTCAAAGGATGTCAGAGACAAGGTTGTAGATCAACACAAGGCTTGAATGGGCTACAAGACCTTCAGCAAGAAGCTTGGTGAGAAGGACACAACTGTTGGTGCGATTATTCGGGAATGGAAGAAATACAAAACAACCATCAATCGGCCTCGGTCTGGAGCTCTGAGCAAGATCTCGCCTCATGGGAAAAGGATGATCATCAGAAAGGTGAGGGATCAGCCCAGAAGTACACAGGAGGAGCTTGTTAATGATCTTAAGGCAGTTGGGACCACAGTCACCAAGCAAACCATTGGAAACACTACGCCGCAATGGATTGAAATCCTGCAGCGCACCCAAGGTCCCCCTGCACAAGAAGACACATGTACAGACCTGTTTACATCTAAATGATCCAGAGAAGGCTTGGGAGAATGTGCTGTGGTCAGATGAGACCAAAATTGAACTCTTTGGCATCAACTCGACTCGCCGTGTTTGGAGGGAGAGAAATGCTGACTATGACCCCAAGAACA